GTGAGGCATATGATTATGATGAATGACTCGCTATTTAAATAGAAAGTTTTACAAAGTGATAAATATTTTTACTGTTTTCTTCTGACAATTGCAACTGACAGATAAGGTGTTGGGTTTTAAATAAATCTTATCTGTCGGCAGCTATAAGATTCTCTGAAAATTACAGTGCAACTACTAAACTTCATTAGTATGATTTTCATACTAACAAAGACTAGTTTTACAAACTTGATCTTTTGAAACAATATTTTCGAGACTATAACGTTCCTCTTCATTTTTGAAACGAATCCATAGAGACAGAAGCTCACGATGCACATACCCACTAGGATGTGTCTCAAGAATCTGGTGGATCGTTTGATCCACAGACTCCTTACTCAATCTATCCTTTATAAATGCTATTTTATCTTCTCGATTTTTGGACACGAACCCCACTGATTTACATCGTGTGTCACAAGTCCATCGAGCGCATTTGAAGCATCCACCTAATCGTTTTGCTCTTCGTTTCTTTGCAAAAGTACTCTTACCCATACCTGGCATATATTTGTATGAATTTGGAAACTCTCCCGACAATCGAACTTTTGCTTCAATCAACCATCGAATATCGCCTGGAATATCATTAATCATTAGCACCCTCAATCTTTCTATTCGAGACCGATAAATTCTTTTTATGATATTTACTGGAACAAAAGAATAATATTTACGGATATTTGAGAGTGCCAAATCCATATGTAAATTCGGACCTTTGTTCGTAAAGATTAAACAGAATGTATGATAATTTATAGAAATGATGCGTATGCTATACGACTCTAAAAACAAAGAGTCTGTCTGACAGAAAGATTGATACAAATGTGATACGATTCTGAATTTAAAAATTGTGGGTCAAAATCTGCACTTGAAGTGCATTTATTGTCGCCGAAAGATGATGTGATATGTTTAATGGGTCACAATGAATTATTGTGATGTTTACTGATATAAATGATGACGGTTTGCATGATTAACTGATTATGAGATGTTTTGTTCTCGATTGGTTGAATTATTACTAGCTAAATATTTGTGAATCGATATTTGATCAAACTGAGTATGAAAGGGGTACTATATATATGGGCCCACTACCCCTCCATGTGTGCTACTAGATATTATGGATCCACTAGATAGCCACATGTGTGTGATCAGTAACCTGAAGTTACGAGATGATTTGATTATGTATATGACACGTAACCTGAAGTTACGAGATGGTTTGATCAAAGAATGACATAAGATGGCTGTGAAAGAATGAAAATAAGTGTCATATAAAAGTGATGAAACTAGTAATATAATCAGCTCATATGATGAACTCATGAAAGAAAAATGTGCACATTACAAGTGACATGAGTTCAAAGTCCTTCTATTATATGTTGAAATCGAGAACGAAATGGAGATTATATGAACTCCCCTCAAGAAACTCAAAACTCAAAATACAAATCAGATCTGTTAAGATAAGGGGGAGAATCAATTATTGAAATTTTGGAAATGATATATGCATCACACCGAAAGTGTGCAAATCATAAACTGAATGATATTGATGGTGGTTAAATATATGAAATGATATGATGGTGGAAAGATACGCTGGAAACGTTAGTATTGTGCAAATTGAAATTCCCCAAATAAGTGATGAAAGGAGGCACATATATACTATCGATGAAATTAATTGATAATGAGATATCTCAATATATTACGGGGAATAATGGAAATGAATATGTGTCGACACAAACAAATGAATAGCGCTATATAAATGATATTGATGAAAATGAAATCAACTCAATTGTGAATATTGAGAACTATTTTCAATAAGACCATTGAAATCGATTGATGGTGAGAATGAGTTTAAGAATGAAAGTTGCACAAAAGCATGATGTAGAATATTATCATAAATACCACCAGTATCAGAAAATCTGAATGAATCTATATGATCTTCATGAAAATTATGGAAATGTTATTATGATGAATATATGGAATGCGCGTTGTACTCTTTTTCCCTTGGCTGAGGTTTTTTCCCATTGGATTTTCCTAGCAAGGTTTTTAATGAGGCAACAGAGATGGCGTATTCACATGAATAGTGTACTCTTTTTCCTTCATTAGGATTTTGTCCCACTGGGTTTTTCCTAATAAGGTTTTAACGAGGCATATTCATGGTATGATGAGGACTACTGGATGATTGATATAATTCCTCATGATGATGAGAAAAGACTGGAGTAGTTGTACTCTTTTTCCTTCGATCAAGTTTTTCCCACTGGGTTTTCTTGACAAGGTTTTAACGAGGCAGCACATGGATACTCCATTAAAGATGATCTATTTGAGGGGGAGCAATGTTGTGCTTCCACAATGCTCAGGTTTTGTCCCACCGGGTTTTCCTGAGGAAGAAATGTTATGATTTCAAGATGATCAGGTTTTGTCCCACCGGGTTTTCCTGACATGCTGAAGCAATGGTACCTGATGACCACAAGATATACTTGAAGATGTGCAGATTGGGTTTTGTTTAAATAATGATTCAAATATGTTTAGAAAATAGTCATTCAAGGGGGAGTGTTATAAATATATATGGTCCACCACCATTAATTTTATGTATGTGAATGACTATTTTGCCCCCGATGTAATTGTATTATTACGGTTGTGCCATCAGAAGTTTCCTATAAATAGGAGCTTCAGTTATAATGAAAATTGTACCTAAGAGAAATATTTTCTCTATTCTCTCTCTTTTCTCTCTAGTTTTATAACATTTTTAATTTTTTTTAAAAAAAAATAATTCCCAAAACTATGAAAATAGGAAAATCATGCATTAATTATAGAATGACTAATCCCATAGAGATGATTTTTACGATTTCTATTAATATGGTTCTAGAAAATATATCGATCACAGAATTAAGAATAAGTAAAGGAATGATCATTCAATTCTCATATTATTCTTCCATGCCAATCATGCTATAAGAATTCATCATGAGAGCAGAGTGAAAGAAAAGCTCCGAAAGATGAGACAAAGATCAAAGAACAAGTGATCAAATTTGCACGCCCATTCAAATTAGATCGTAGAATACACGAGGCCAAGCGCCGCACGTATATGACTGACATGCACATCTATGTTGACCATACCCGATTTGTACAAAAATTACGGGGATACATTTCCCTTATAATTGATTCTCCACCAAAATTTTTCGATAAACTTTTAACTTGAAGTACGTATATGCATATCAGAGTGCGTGTATACAAAAGAAGAGAGAGAGGAATGAAAACAGTTGAAATAAATTGTCATCAAGACAATGGCAATATGCCCCATTGGTGGAGGAAACCTTCTCCGGTGGTCACCTCAAGCACGAGGAGGAGGAGCACCGCCAGCATGGCCGCCCTTCCATTCCACGTCTCAGCACTTTTTGTCCATCCCCATTCCCATACCACAACCGGCGGAGGCAGCTCCCTACGCTGTGAATCGTACGCCGCCAGCAGCTCCTCTACACTGCCGAGTGGAACTAAAGACTGCAGGCACGACACACATCACTAATAAGATTAGATTGCTGACAGTTATATGGATTATCTAGCTACGGATTGTCTTTGCCTCGTTCAGATTCAGGTTCATCAAGTACTGTACATGTGTGTGTGTGTGTGTGTGTGTGTGTGTGTGTGAGAGAGAGAGAGAGAGAGAGAGAGAGAGATTCTTGTGGCTTATTAGTTATTAGATTGTTGACAGTTATATGAACAGCAAATTATCAGACAGACAGAAATGTAAATGATATCTAGCCATGAAATTGTCTTGCTTGCACCTCGTTCAGATTCAGGTTATGCATCTACTGCACAAGTACATATGTGTGTGTGTTTGTGTTTTTGTGTGTGCGGGTGTATGAGAGAGAGAGAGAGAGAGAGAGAGAGAGAGAGAGAGAGAGAGAGAGAGAGAGAGAGAGAGAGAGAGAGAGAGGGAGGGAGGGAGATTCTTGTGGCTTATTAGCTTCCGCCTTCAAGCATAGGCTAGTTTTAATGAACAAAGATGCATATATACATTTTGAATAAGGATCTGTATTTGGAACTAACTATTTCACCGTAAAAGTTTAATAATCATCATAATTACCTGTCGAGCTTCGAGGTTTGAGACAGCCATTGCGCCAACATAGGGAAGACTTTCGATTACTGCATCAGCTAAATCTGAAATGAAAGTTGGCTCACAGCCAAGTGCAGGAACACGGCCCCATTTCTGAATACCACTCTCTAAAGCCAATTCCTTGTACTCAACATCGATTTCCTCCAATGTCTCAATATGCTCGCTGACAAAACTGTAGCAGAATCCAGTAGAAAAAGCACATGAATAACAAATGTTCATGATTGCAGATGTAGGAAAAACAAAAAGAGAGATGGATCAAATTATCAGAAAATTTTACATATTACGACCGCACCGTTCCAATCAATAAACAATCAATATGTCGCACCTAATTGGGACAGCAAGAAGACTCTTCACTCCTTTTCGCCCGAGCTCAATGATTGTCTCGTCTGTATAGGGTTTCAACCACTCTACAGGTCCAACTCTACTCTGTACAAGGACCGCCAACCAAATCAAATTAGAGCAAAATCATGATATCACTCAAAATAAATGAAAAACAGAGAAAGCGGAAGAAAGAAATGGAAAATAACGGGGGGTCGGGGGTGGAGCAAGTAAAAAAGTTAAAAATTTTATGCTGAAGAGTAAAATATTAATAATAACAGACAGTATAGAGTTCAATTTATATTTCATAGTAATGACACCACAGACAGAGGACCAAGCACAGAAGGCATGCTATCAAACAAACCAAGTTCGTAAAGCCAGATAGCAAAATGAACAGATAGCTTTTCGTTGTATTATATTATATAATCTAATTTGTCAACATGAAGTCTGAAGTATAAGAATTCATTAAGTTTCAACAATGTTTTGTCAGGAATCAGGATGAAGACAAGGAAGAGAGACAGTGGTAGCAGGCTGGGTTAGGGAGAAGTGATGAGAAATAGAAAGCAGAAAATAGAAGGGATAAAATGAGTCGGGATAAAATGAGTGTTTGCACTTCTAAATACAGTTAATCAACTCTACAGCCGATCTCAGTTTTAAAAGCACTTGAATGAATTAGTCAATCCAAGTAGACCAAAAATACATCCATCAACCTATACTAGTTCTAGTTACTAATATCACCAAAGAAAATGAGGTCTGACGGATCAAGAAATATGTGAGCGCGCATGTGCACAAACAGGCAATAGTATGGATGTTAACATATAAAAGAACCCATATGTTCATATCCATCTCATTTCACAATCAAGAGGTTGTATGCTTCATAGATCCCTAGTAATGCACCATATGAAGCTTAGAAAAAAGCCAACACAGGAACTTGGTATGTGAAGAAGAATATCTATGAGACACTACAATGTCCAATGTCAAGGCTTTGAAACCCACTGATAGGGCTAACAATCTGTTTATAATTGGAGAAAAGAAAATAAAGAGAACCTTCATCCACTATCCAAATTTTAATGTAGGCTTCGTTTTTTTCAGTGTTTTGGTGAAAACACCATTTTAGTGGTTTTAACCGCATTGCCAAACGCTGAAATTCGTATTTACTGCTGTTTAGTAAAACAACACTTCTGTTTAGCGGATGAGCAGGAAAAGCCAAATTTTGCAAACGCTTGACTGAGAAGCGTTTCTGGTAGTGGTTTGCCTTCCGCGTACATTTTTTTGTTTTATTTTACCCAAAACCTTTTACCACGGCTAACTTTATATTGTGATAAGAAACAGCTAACACAATAACACAATACGTTAAATGGTAATTGCCAAACAAGCCCTTAATGTACATGCTTTTATAAATGGAGATAAAGGAAAGGCAAGGTTGAATTGAATCACAATTGTCTGTAGTACTATTGTCAAACCCACGTATAGAATAAAGCCCCAGTAAATACAACAGAGCAGGCAGCAGTCGATATCTATGGGCAACTGAATTACATATAAGATATCCAGAACCCAATATGGATGCTCTAAGAAACAGTTGCAGTAATACACAACAACAACATACCCAATATATTCTCAACTGGTTGGAGTCTGGGGGGTCAGTTGTGCGCAGACCTTACCCTTGTAATTATACAAGGAGGTTGTTTCCGTAGCGACCTAAGGTTCATTGCGTCGTTTGATATTTTTTTTTTTTCTAGAAACATCACTAATAGAAGAAGCACTAGAATTTAATTGAGCCATTTTGATCTAGTCCTTAGCACTATGCCAGGAGAATTGTCAACAATGACTCTTCCAGCTCCATTTGTAATGGACAAAAGTTGCACTAATATGAGGTGGCAAAAAACAAAGTTCAAGTGGTGCATTGGAGAATCCATGTGATGCACCAAAATTCACATGAGGAAAGACATGACACCTGGTAGGCAAGGGTATAGGCATTATTCATCTTTCTCTTTTCCAGTTCTTCCATGATCAAGTCCACACACTCTTCCATCTCTGCTTTGTATGGATCACCAGCTTCCTCCACATATGCGAGTGGTACCCCGTGAGCACTAAAGAATATCATCACCTGTGATACAGAAAAGTATTATCAAATACAGGATAGGTATTTAATACCAACTACTAAGAATTATAGAATCTTCTTGTCAGTGAAGTCAATTCAACGAAACAAGTCAAAATGGAGTAGCAACAAAAGGAATAGAGAATAAACAAAGTCTCCATCATGGGAATTACCTCCTCAGGGCAGTCAAAGCTTCGCAACTCCTTTTCAATCAAATCTGCCATGGCTTTAATATATCCTTGTCGTTGGTACCAGGAAGGAATTACAGTGTGCTGCATGTTGACAAGATATTCGTCCTCCCTAACATATAACAGATCATCATGGAACAGAATTTTATGAGTCGTTACATCCATAACATGAGTTCTTTATCTAAACAGACTCACCTGAATATACTCTCCAGTAGGCGAAGGCTTGAACCACTTGTTGAGATAGAAAATTGAGGGTACAGAGGCAGCACGACTAGCTTTGTAATACCATCTCGTTTGATCTAGTTATGAAAATCAACATACTAATATCAATATAATCAAACAGGTGAGTTATAGAAGCTCTAGAAGAGGGAGAACTAACGATGAAATAGTCATATTTTAAACATGTATTCAGATTATGGCATCACTATGTAATTAATAAATCACAATCACTAATGTTCATTGGCTCAAATTACTGAAGTTCCCAATTAGAAAGTTCTACTCAGAATCTGGAAGATTTGATTAGGAAGAACAAAGCATTGAATTACCAGAACAGGGAACATAACACAAATACAATCCACAAACTTAATTGAAAATGTAAAACCTGCAGTGTATTGTTTCTTCACTGTTTTTATTATTGTTCACCCAATTTTCTGAAAAAAGCATCATTTCCCATGACAAACAAGAATTAGGTAAAAGCAAAGAGCCAGGGTATGCAGGCCTAAAACTTCAACAAGTAGTGCACCGCTTATTACCTTTTGTAAGCACTGTTCTAAAAATCGGCCTAGGCGGCCGCCTAGGCGGCCGCCTAGGCGGCGCCTAGGCGCTAGGCGGTGCCCGGGCGCCTCCGATTTGCACAAATCGACAGAAAAAATCGGTCAGGCAGCTAGGCGGCGCCTAGGCGGGCCTAGGCGGCCCTAGGCGCTCCTAGGCGCCCTTGGCGGGCGCGGCGGCCAGGCGGTTAGGCGGCGCCTAGGCCGGAATAGGCGGACCTAGGCGCTCCTAGGCGGACTCGGCGGCAATTTTTCAGTTTTTTTTTAATTTTTTTAATTTTTTTAAATTTTAATTACATTATTTTATTCTCATGTTTTCTTTAAAATATATTAATTTTATTATTTGGACTTAGGTGTGTCGATTTATTATAAGTTGAGATAGTTTTATTTTGTAGGTAGTCAAACTAAATAAAAAATAAGGTATTTAATATTGATTTCTAGGCCCCGACTAGGCACCGCCTAGGCCCCGCCTAGGCGCTCTAGGCGCTGGTCGAGCGCCTAGCGGGCGCCTAGCGACTTTTAGAACACTGTTTGTAAGTTAATAGGTGTGTAACAATGACAAAAAAAGAAAAAGAAAACACAGGCATCACCTATTTGGCTTGAATACCTGTTCAATAGCTTCTTCCGTGAACGGATGCCAGTAGCGCATACCAACATACACCTTTGCTGGAACATTTTTGCTACATAATGCCTTTCGTATTTCCTCAGCCTACAGGTAGCAATTCAGCCCAGTTGAGTCTGAACTGGATGTTAAACATATTTACAAACCAAAAAAAATAAAGCAAGCAAGCAAGCTACAAGCGTAGATAGCGATCAAAGGCTCCATAAAGTAACAACGACAACTAAATAACTCTTCAAAGAAACAAACCATTGAGGAAATATTTTAAATTACCACTGGGTTAGTGGGTTTCATGCTATCCTAGTTACTCATGATGAACGAGACCGTAGCAGAAACCATAGTACTTCATATAATCCAGAGAATTCTTTTGGAAACACACACACACACACACATATATTACTTAAGTAAGTACAGGAGAAAAATACATGTTCCATGTTTGTCGTTTAGATGTATTCATGAGAAATCTGATCCCAACCTTCGTATCATAAGCCAAAGTTATCCATTAAAATAAACAAAAAGTGAGAGAATGTGAACTTCAAGAAATCATGCCTGAGCATCAGTAATGCGCCGCAAGGGAGAACCACCACCGATTGAAGCATATCCTTCTTTGCTCTTTGGGGATCTGACAACAGATATGAATTGTGCCAAAGGCTTTTGAAGGAATCTGAAAAGTCTCGGGAGTCGAATAATGTCCTAGTTTCCAAATATAGATACATGTATAAAATCAAAATAGTGAGAAAAAAATTATATGTTAAACAATTATTCACAACAAAAATATAACAGCAAAATCAAAAGTAGGGCAAAACCAAGAGATACTAACTGGGTCTGCGAAAAGATTAAACAGGAATGGCTGTACATCATCGAGAGTTTCAGGACCTCCAAGATTCAGCAATAATACACCAATCTTTTCATTACCAACAAGTTCATTAGAAGAAACTTCTTGAGATCCAGAGGCTACCAGTGCTCCTATCTGTGCCGGATGCTTGATTGACTTATCTGAAGATACAGATGATGTCTTGGACGTCCCCAAGGAGCACCTTGCTACTAGTGATGTTTTCAAGAGATTAGAATTAGCAAAAGCCTCCAATGACCTTAGGCATGGGCAGAACCCCTGAGAGTAAAGTTTGACTCGCGGTGGTAGTCTGAGACAGAGACAAAGTTCAAATTGAAATTTACTAGAAGGAGCAGATAATAGGATGCTCAAACAGTTAACACACCACATTTTGCTCTGCAAATACCACCTAAAAGCAACAATAACAAAATAGCTTTTGGAAATAAAAACACACACATACACACGTTTTTTTTTTTTTTTTAATTCAATCCCATTTCACATGACTCCTTATTAAATGGAAAAAATCCACAACAATGACCCGAAGAACAGCTCCCATATAAGAGTAGAGTATATGAAATCATCATAATAAGAATTAGCCCAACAAGCACAACAGAATCGGAATTATGAATTTCAAAAACCCTAGGTTTAAATCATTCCATCCAACTGAAACCCTCTTCTTTCTCATGTGCTCTTTGAACCCCAACAGTAACGCAGAACCCTACACAAGCCATCCAATTAAAAGTGACGAATTTGCGACATTTTCCTACATAAAGCCTGTTTACTAACTAAAAAGACTAATCAAAAGTTCAAAAAGGGAAGCACAAAACTCACACACAAAACACACGGGAAGTATGGCGGTGGGCACAGCTCAAGATGTTGAAAAGCAAAAGAAAAAAATGAAATAAAATGGCAGAAAAAAGAAAGGGTTCTCACAGAGATGGAGAAGGAGCTTGAACTCGTATAGTCATGGTCTGGTTCATTTTCATGCCGACAAATTTGTAAGAAAAGACTGTTTCCTTCTTGGAGACGAAAGAATTCTGCTTCAGCAGCTGCAGGTTTCTGATGAGCAGTGGCTATTTTGTTTGTGCATTTGACATTTTGCCACGTGTTTCACGAGTTATCCTCTTTCTCAATAGAAAAAAGAAATTGTGCGGACTTGACCCGGGTCTAAGTGTGTGATTGGACATAAATCCCAATTCAAAGTTTAACCAATCAATTCACTCTAAGGAACTTTGGTTCCACATATTAGGCTTATATCCTTCGAGACTTCGTTTACTTCAACGGATGTGATAGGAAGAAATATGATGGCTTATTACTAGTGTTGAGTATGGGACTCGGAGAATATCGAACCGTTCCGAAAACCGAACCGAAATCACTCTGAATTGAAAAATAATCGTTGACCGTTTGACTTCTCCGAATCGAACGGAACCGAACCAAAAAAATAATTGGTACGGTTCTGGAGATTTCACAAATATCCGTGACGAGAACTGAACCGAACCGTCCCATACTGTACTGAACCGAAAAATCGAAATTAAGAACCGAATTATAACATTAGATGTGTTATTAATATATTTTATGTCGACTTTGATTCTATATAATATAGTAATAAATATTAAACTTTACTTAAATTTCATGCTTACTAATACTCAATCTACAATTGAATTTTTTCTATTATAAAATAATTATTTAAAATAATATGAAAGTTTAAAGAATTTTTTTTTAAGAAAAAAATATTATATTTGATTTGAATTTTAAATTTTCAATATTGGTTGCAAAAATTTAGTTATAACTAAATTTAGAGTTACTTATAAATTTGATTTCAAAATAAAATCTTTAATGTGAGGAAGTACTGATGAAAGTTGGTTTTATTAACGCATATAAAAATTAAATAACTAAAATTTAGAGTTACTTCTAGAATTGATTTTAAAATAAAATCTTCAATATGATAAATTATTGATGAATGTTGTTTTTTTAAAGCATATAAAAATTAAAATATAACTAGGTAGTCATTCAAAAATAATTTAAGAATATAAAAAATCTCCGAAGATCCGAACCAAACCGCCCCAATAGTCCTGAATACCGAACCGAACCGAACCGAAAACTAAAAATCTCCGAACCGAACTGAACCGACTTTTTGGTACGGTTCTGGAGATCGAATTTTGGGATCTTTGAAGTTTGGTATGGTTCTGGAGATTTATCAATCTCCGAACCGTACCGACCTACGCTCACCCCTACTTATTACCATGAGTCAGTTTTTCTCCATGAGTTAGCTTTATTAAATTTATAATTATTTGGACATTCACGAATATAATAAAAATTATACATGTGATTTTTTGGACAAAATATGTCTTTTTGTGTTGGGATAAAAATATTTCACCCTCTGGATGAGATAGAATTATATTGTCAGTCATGGGTATAGGTGTGTGCACACCTGCCACATACATGACACATAGGATTTAACTCAATTTCAATCCATGCTAGTAAACACTGAATAAGGTTGGTTAAGGAATGTTATCCCATCATAACCTAGAAAATAAAAGAGGCCTGACATGTTACTATACACATTAGTTTAATTTGTTTGGTTGGAGCAGCAAAAGCCCTTAAAATGGTCGAGGCTCCGTAGTGGTAAAATCAAAGAGCCATGCTCATCCGACCCTTAGTGTGGGATACAATATCCCGTTTAATAATCTCGTTATCATATTTAACACAATATCTTAATATAAATAAGAAAAAAAAAAATATTTAACCTCCCAACGTGTGGTCCGTTACAGAATTGCCTCACAAACTTTTTTGTCTGATAATTTACCTTCAATAGTAATTGAAACTAACAATTTGTCTCCTCTATTAAAAATCCTAAGATGACACAAAAAATGTTTTTAACTCAATTAATGATAAATTTTAAATTGATCTTTAAAATTGATTTAGGGCTTTTGAAGCTGAGACGAACAAATAAGATATGGTTTACCAATTTCTGAAAATTGAATACCTCTGTGATAGATCGACGAAGAAAGTAGGAGCAAATGTGTGTAGAAAAATATTCAATTCATGTTTTTGATAATCAAGATATCTGATTTTCGAATATGTCATTTGAAAGCTTTGCAATTCAATGATAGAAGAATAAGATGAATAAAATTCCCAGGCGACAAGGTGAAATTTTTAATAAGGAATACAAGTTATGGAAAATTAAAGGCCATCTCACAAACAGATCTAATTTAATTTTCTACCATCCTTCGAATTCTGATGATGCACGAACCGGGGGACTTTGAAAATTATTCAATTGGAAAATAAGACTAAAACAACCACAATGTAAACAAACATAATTCCACCTACTTTTCATGTCGCTGAAATCCTCATATCTCATACTCCTTATTTTTCGAAAGGAGAGGAAGATGATGCCATAGAACTGTTGGAAATCTCTTTTACCAAGTCACTTTGTCTGTCTCATTCGTGGGTGGCCCAGTGCTTCTTAGATTTTCCCAATACTTCCAACGTGGACGCTAAGGTCATTGGTGGTTCTTTGGGGTCCAGAATAGAAGAAACGCTTGCGGATTCATAATTGTACCACGCTAAATCATAACAAAAAAAAAAAGAAATAATAAATAAAAATTGTTAGTATTGTTTGACTCATTGTCAATTGCCAAATGGGGGTTAACATGAACATCATTTCCGTTGTCGTCATTATCGTCTCCTTCATCATCATCGTATATTTCAATCACCTCGTTTCCTCCATTTTCTTCACTGACATTGTTAGCATCTCCGAACAAGTACTCCAACTCTTGGAGTACGTTTCCTCCCTCTTTTATGTATGCCATTGCTAGCTTTTCATTCTACGAATTTAAAAATAACCCAAAGATAAAATTAAGAAACTCAAACAGAAACTCATTAAATGACATAAAAAAATAATAATAAAGCATAGTTACTCGAATGATATGCTCTTGTGTTCGCACGTCCGCTTGTACACTTTTGCCATGTTGTGTGTGTGCAACTCCACTCTATTGTTTCATCCAACTAAAAACTTGGAAGCATTTATGTAACCTGCGAGTTTTTCCCTCACAAATTTTGAAATCAAAGCTCTTACTAAAGTGAGCATTGACAACTCCCGTAACACTAAATATGGCATGATGGTTTGGTCCCAACCTCAAATTTATTGGCCCCTAGTCTATTCCCCAGAATATAAAAAAAAAAAAAAAAAAAAAAAAAAAAAAAAAAAAAAAAAAAAAATTGTTTGAGAAATGGCATATTTTGAAACTTTGTTTGGAACCATTTTGAGTTGAGCCTTCATAAAACGAAAAAGAGAAAGAGATTGTGAAGGATGAAACTTGGTGTTATGTTGCTTGTGATTCTCAGGGGCGGAGTTAGGATTTTATATCTACCCGGACTATAATTATTTAACAAAAATAAATAAATAAATGATAATATTGCAAATAAGATATCATTTTCCAAGTATGTTTTTCAAACATGCATTTTCATCTCATCATTTTAAATTCAAAGAATAACTAAATTCAATGGTGGTCTTTGGATGGTTGGAAAATATAAATAACCAAAGCCTAATAAGTGGAAAAAAAATATTGTAATATAATGTAAAATTACAAAAATATATAAATAATAAACAAAATAAGTATACATAAATATCAGGGGTAAAAATTGCAAAGATATTACATCACTCTTTAATTTTTACAAGAGCATATGAACTCAATATTTGATAATAACCGACTAAGCATTAAATAAAAGCTAAAGTAATCAGAAAGGACTCTAGACACATTTCTAATAAATTCATTCATAATACACAGATATGCTTTTCAAAAATCCATCCACATTAGTATTCATCATTAACTAGAAATTAGGAACCCAAGAGCGCTTGAATGAGATGACTTGGGTCTCTTCCAGCTTAACCAGTGGTCTCGAGTTCGAGCCCTGAGAATGCAGCAGTGTTAAAACTCTTGAGAGAGAGCTTTGTCGTCCTTGTGGTCCTACCCGGCTCGATTCCGAATTAGTCAGTTTTCCTGTGGATCCAGAAATCGGAAGGTCCCTGTACAAAAAAAAAAAAAAAGAAAGAAAGAAATAAGGAGAGAGAAATAACTTAGGAAATAGGAAAATAAAGAATATTATTAATTTTTCTACAGGCAACCACAATTTGTATTCTTTAGTATCTTTACTTTTAATTTTATATGTTTAGCTTAAAATAAGTTCAATGAATTTGTTAGGTTCTCCCAAAATACTTGCAATGCATGTCTAAATTTCAGATTTATTTTCTTTCTACCAATAATATAAAGAATGTATTTTTTACTGAATAATACAAAATTGAAGAAAAAAAAACCAATTATGTCTCATTTATTAATTAATAAGTTAATAATTAACTTAACAAGTAAGTGTTTATATCAACATAACACGCAAATCTGTTATCAAGTTCATATTCTTCAATTACCTACCAATTAAATAAAAATTTTGACTATGTATAATAGTGATAAAAGGAGTACATATTTCGCAAATAAATTTTTAAGTATCAATTGAAAACAACATTACAATATTATGTGAAATATGTGCATTAGTCTCAATCATGTTTGGTCACTAACCGGGCTGAATTGGAAACAAAACACCAAAACATATATTAAGCTAATGGTAGACATTGGAAGAGGCACCCGGGCTACAGCCCAGGCTTGTTTACACGTGCCTCCGCCCCTGGTGATTCTCGTGTGATGATGCTTGATTATTTAGTTTTGCATGAGGAAGAAATTGAACAATTATATACATAAACATGTTATCATAGAAATATCAATTTCGTTGAAGAGGGAATATATTCCTCGTTACTAAAAATGGGAAAAACAAAAACCTATTGATTCTGATTCTTAAAGCTGATTTTTGATTGACAGAAAGACACATCCATAAAAGAATCAGAATATATTCCCCATTATTAAATAAGAAAATTGTACAAAACATTTTTCTTGAAGAATACACGTCTCGTTTCCTTAAATAGCTAGCAAACAAATACATGACTCTCCTTTTCACATTGCTCTTGTAGAAAATATATTCATTCCATTGTGATAGAGAGCTCAATTCAGTACCTAGCACTAAAAAACAAATGCCTCGGGAAAGTGGTTGGACACCATCAACGGACAAATCGCAATAGAGTAATGCAAATTCTAAAGCTCTGAGAAGAAGGTGCTACCACAGGTTGGAGGCTCAGTTTGTGACCTATAACATGTAAAAAAAAAATCCATGTAGGAGGTACCATAGGTGTAAACTACGAAACTTAAGTGTTGACAAGCTGCGTGCATTCAAAGTCTTATTTTGTGTTTTTGTTTTTAAATTTTTTGAGAAGCTTTCACCATGTTTTAAGAAAGACGACTCCCGATTTTTTTAATGGATGATGATATGTTGCCCTTTCAAAATGTTGTTATCTTAAACTTAGGTTCGGAAAGAAATTTTGGAGAACCAAGTTAAAAAGAAAATTGTGCAACTGCAAATGTTAACTGAGAAATTGTAGACAAAGATGAATATTTTGAAGAAGATGAAGACACAAAATGCCGACCATCATGAGCTGCTTTTATCTCCTATGAAAACTGTAGTGAACAAATCGATGTTTGGTTTGCCTTTGTTTGAATGTTTGTTGTCATTTTGTTCTTTATAAATGTACTGTTTTGATTGTATGAGTACTTTTTTTAGTGATGTTGTGAATTAGCTTCAACAATTTGCATGTTATGTATTTCATTCAATGTTACGTGTTTATTGTGTTTCGAAAGTTAAGAAATTTCTTAGCATGAGGTTTGTTTCTAGTGTGCTGCTTAAGAAATTTGTTAGCATATGGTTTGGGTAACTATTGTCTGTAAGATCTGTGTACACCCTCAACAAGTATCTCCACTGGCATTCATCTTCATGTTTATTACATCTCGACATATGGTACAATAAAAACTTTTTAAAACAATCATCTTTCTGTAACTCATGATATCTCAAATGCACGCATGTATATAAAAAAAAAAATGCAAATACAAATTCTTGGATTTATTCCAAGAGGCAAAGAAGTAACATCAATCGTTTTTATTGAAGTCCCTACAAAGCTGTGAAGTGACACCCCACATTACACATACAGTGAAATTTTTACTTAAACAAACCTAAAATTACAAAAACAATCACTCCCCAAAATTACACATTACAGTGAAGCTTTCCCGGAGAAAAACCAAACTTATGAAAACAAACAACTTCATAGCTACTTAATTTTAATTACAAATCCAGTGACACTGCAAACTTTCCAAATAAAAACTACTTTGTCGACATATGGTACAATAAAAACTTTCTGAAAACAATCATCTTTATTTGACATGAAAATCGGCTAGTGGTTTCGGCTAGCGGTTTCGTGCCAGTTTCATAGCTACTTATCCAAATGTGCCCTCAATTTCTTTTCTTTTATTCGATAGCTCGTAGATTCTCGAAGGAGGTATAGAGTCGATTTTTTCTCTTTAGTTTAGATTTTATTGAAGATATAAATCTATGCTTAAAGTTCAATAATTATGTAATCTTTGGAGTAGTATTGAAATCAAGTATTATTTTTTTTAGATTATTGGATCTCGTAGGCTACATAAATGCCTTACAGTCGTTTAAAAAATTGATGTTTATAAAACTCTTTTTGCCTAAACATACCATTAGGACTGGTCTTAAGTTGTTGTGGATAAGCAAGAGAGTTAAGTCGTGAACCTTAAGCTAGAAAATCCTTCAATTCGTAACACAACTAGGCAAAAGGATTCAAGCTTTCTAGCTTCTCTTTAGTCGTCATTGTTGAAAACCGACTTAAATTACTTTTCAAAATAATCGACACCTTCCGGAAGAACCTAGCCCTAAATGGCCTTAGAGATCTTTTCATCTCAGTTTATGGCAGATCGTTTAACCAACCTCCAAGCGGGAATCCGCATGCTTAACCCTTCTATTTACAAACCGAGAACCGACTTTGTTGAATCCCAAAGCTGCTGGTTGACCGCCACTCTGATTGGACCGAGTTCACCCGCATAATCATTACATCTTCTTCATCGATCGAGCCACTGCATCATAAAGGGAACCTGCATTAAATGCGATCCTATCTACCTCGTACAAAAGACGAGGCTCCCGCGACTATAAATAGGAAAATTCTCTGTAATAAAGAGGATCGAATTTTTGATTCTCAGATAAGTTATCTCAGTTGCACCACAAATTCAACACCTTGTATACAAAAGACAATTTCATAATATCAATAAAAAAAGTTTTTTCTTGCTTCAGTTACATACTTTATCGTTGTTAAATTGCGCATAACAATAGTTTGGCGCTAGAGAAAGGGGTTCATATCGTGTTTGAGGTCGATCTTCGGCGAAATTCTGTTCGAGTCCTGTTACTTTGTGCCGCATATACAACCAAACTGTCTATTTGGTAAAGATGTCTCAATCTGAACACATTTCCCGCTCTGGACAAAACCATAATGCTGCAAAATCCACTGCTCAACCTGCTGCAACACCAGCGCTTCCAGACTATAATGTCTTGTTCCAGAATCCTGAGTTTGTCAAAGGATTTACTTCTCTAATGGCCCACGTTATCCCTGGGGCCTCGCAAGTAAATCCCGTTCTACCTTCTAAACCAAATCAACCTGTCCAGCCTCAAGGTGGAGCTGCGCAGTCTCATGCCACCTCTCATCCTCACCACGAAGTCCATCAACAGAAAGAAGGGCCCGCGGTTCAAACGAAAGCTCCCCTTCAAGTTAATGTGGTCCCTCCAGAGGCCCACTTACACGAACAAACAACTGAAATTCATTCGGCCCCGCCACGAGAAAATCTGGTAAATCCTACCCCTGCTC